CCTGCTGCCGGTCCACTCCAGGTTAATACATTTTCAGAAAGGAAAAGACCAAGGAAGATGGGTAAGCGTATAAAAAGTTGGAACTGTGGGCAACTACTGGACCCACTACAGTACATCCGTAAGGAAAAGGGTGAAGGTGACTGGTATTAAATAGCACGCCAGGTATACTCATTTCTTCTGCAGTGAGATCAGAACAGCTGCAGCCTTCTGATACTATCCATCCTGCATAAAGACAGTTGCTGGCTTTGCTTGGACCTGTAATTCACCTGTGCAGTAACAGCCTGCCTGCATCCCTAATGAAGGTGCTTAACAGTATCCACCTCAAAATCAACCTCTTTATCACTGTCCACCTAGTAGACTTTAAAACACTGATCATTACTCTTTAAGCCCAACTATCCAGCCAGTTTTTCCACCCAGGTCACAGTTCATACCTCTCCATTTTGGCCAGAGGGACATTACCAGAGAATGTGTCAGAATCCTTGCTTAAGTCAAGGTGAATGACATCCACTGCTCTTCCCTATGATGAAATGACTGACTCGGGATGAGAAGGCAATCAGGTTGCTCACGCATAATTTGCCCTCAAGCTTAAATGAGACGCTGACGCAGTGTTCTTGCATCCTTTTTGCACTTGGAAGCAATATTACTCCTCACAAGGATATTGAATAGCTTGCTTCCGCTAAGACAAAAACTCAAAAGAGGGAAGAGCAGAGAATGTACCTATAACTTTGCACAGGCTACATTTGCTTTTGCTAATCTAAAATACTGGTTGGGATGACTGGATGTTGAAATGGGAGTATCGCTTGCAAGACCCACAAAATAAACCCTTTAACTCTAATAACATTCTAGCAAGAGGACTGTGCTTTGGTTTTAGGTTTACATTAAAATTAATGTCCAGACAGAAAATTGAAAGAATCCTAAGTACATAACTGGTTTTTTCCTCTAAAAAAATATGGTTGTTAAACACTTCAAATTGGAAATTCTCTTTCTTAGTCTTCCCTAGGCTACATAACTGTAGTTTTCACAAAGAGGAAGGGAAGGAACTTACGGGACCTGGGAAAAGAATGACAGACTGACCCAAATCTGGACATAAGGAAAAACTCTCTGATGATATTAGGGAAAAGCATGGGATTGCACTGCATGTGAGTTGTGGAGGGTTTATTCTTAGAAGTCTTGCTATGTTGAAGCCTTGTCTTGAAATAACATAGCCTTTAATCAATCTCCCCTTGAAGCATGGAGGTCTTTTTCACGTACTTTTCTGATTTTCTGCTTTTAATGATAATCAAGGAGTACGTATCAAATCTGCATAAAGTATGTTATTTGACCATTCTTTTGGCATGAAAGTCTTCCATTTAACTTGAATTAGATGCCTCATTGTCTCACAAATATGATCATACCATATAACGCCTACAAGATACTTCAATTAAAAAATATAACCAAACAGCAGCATCAACACAATAAATCACTTTAATGGTGGTTCTAGTTTATAAAACAAGTGGAAAAGGGGGGTGGAGGAGGAAAGAGGTGGAGGAGAACTCAAATGTTTGCCAGGTGTGGCAACATGTTGTGTCATCCTAATAGCTGTGAGTCTCCCATTAAAGGAGACATACATGAAAAAATACAGAAGAAAAAAATTACATAGTACCATAACCACTGAATTACATACTCATGACCTTTAAACCTGAACTTGCAATTTTAAGGAAATAACATGTAACGTTTCTGGACTATGCTTACTCTTTAAATCCGAACACTATAGAATAAAAGCATTTCTATGCTGTATTGTAAAAATATCAGTTACTGATGTCCAGACTTCAAACTGACATTGTATGATATTGATGGAAAGAAAATAACCTGGAACTGTAAACAAGTTATGGCAGACGATTGCTTACCAAAAATTAGAGGAACTGTTTACTCATGTTTTCTCTTGGCATCATTTTGCATGTTCTTTAAGATACTTTCACCCCATATATATGAGCAGGTACACTAGAAACTAGCAGTGATAAGCTGCACAAAGAAACCACCTAGTTAGAAGTCAATGAATTGTTTAAGCATTCTATGTCATCATATGTATGATAAGTAGACATGAGATAGAGCCTGTAGTATCAAGTCTCTTGGCTCTTCCATTGTGCAATGCTTTGGGAATGCAAGTAAGTCTGAGCAGAAACTCTCTCCAAATATATATACATAAACACTGAATATGTGTGTAATATATGTCCTAAGTTAATATTTAAACTGCACTGCTTTGCATAGCAAAAGACAATGTAAACTTGGCATTTTGTTTATGTCTAAAAACACAGTGGTTACATTTTTATCCTGAGACAAGGAAGAAACAATGGGTTTTGCCATTTTAGAAAAGCCTTTCCTTCCCTCAGATGCAGAATAAGTTTAATATGATGCCTGTTTACCTACAGTTAGTGTCTGAAACACGTCTAAAAGTGCAAAACACCAGTCCATAGTTCAGCACTAAACAACTTAGGTTGATGACCTTTTTCAATATTACAGCATGAATACATCAGAAAGTCATGGCAACTCCTAATGAAAGCAAGGTTTCTTCTTTCTTAAAGCAACATTTGTTGCCATTTTCATTGCACTGATTTCAAAATAACAGAAATTAACTAATGTCACAGAAAATTATAGAGTCCTTGTTATGTTCTTCTAAGAGGTGGTTGGGCAGAATTCACCTGAAATATTAGGTTAACTGAAAGACATAAAGTTTTGTACCTACAATAGAAGATATCAGCAAATTAATAGTTTTTAGCACATAAAACTCATTGGGCTGAGTTAGGCTTTACTAGTCTGTATCACAAATAACCTCAACTCAAAAGATTCTAGAATTTATAATTATGTTCCAATATGTAACACATGCTTTTTTGCACATGCTTTTGCATGATGTTCCAGTTGCAAGCGCTTGGAAAAACAACCCTACATACCACTTTTTAGGGATCTTAAGTTTATCTAACATTTGATATTTCCCATAAATATGAACAGTTGTGACTTCCGTATACTGAGAACAGGCCTTCAAAAGATAGTTTTGTTAAATTACTATCATTATAACACTTTCAAAAATGTTTCCTCTTCATAAAGTTTAGTCACTGGGCCAGAGATCATACTACAGGCTAGATCTCATCTAACATTTAGTATCTGAGCTATATGGGGCACTGTCCTTTGGAAAGCAATGACATACTTCCTGCATGACCACCTTCTGTTGCCTTTTCTAAGCTGCCCCTCCGCTTGATGTAGATTTGTTAAAATGGTTGTCATTTTAGGGGTTAAAATTCCCTATTAAGCAAGTGAAAGTTTCTCTTCCTATGGTTGAGGAATGAAAACTACCAATGCATATGCTATTACAATATAGTAAGTCTTGCTCATCTACATAAACAATGCAGCAAAACAAGAATCTTAATTCAAAAGGCTGCAACAAAATACATTGTAAACTTTTTTTTTCACATCTTGGAAGCACAGTACAAAATACTTGCTGTTGTTGCTGCCAGCAAGAGAAGCCAGTGCAACTGAATAAAGCATTTCCTGCTTAATAGTAGTATGAAAGAAATGCCAATACAATATATGGCATCACTGTCAAAGGTCACGCAGCAGAAATGGAAGTGAAGATACAACAGCAATTAAAGGCCTCTCGGCACCGTGCGTTTCCCACCTACTCACAGCATTAACAACGGCCAATAACTGCTTTTCAGACGTTATCTATTAAACCTTAACGTGTTACTAGTAAAAGAGAAAGAAAAATCGCCTTGACAAGTGAAGACGGGTTTTGCCAACACGAGGTCTCCAAAATAAGTCATGATATAAACGCGAGGGTGGGGAAGAGAGTCAATGCAACCTACGATCCGACGCTGAAGCACAGTTCCTCTGGAAAATGGTTACCGAGCTCGCTGCTTTACGAACAACTCACCAGCCCGCAGGACACCTGAGAGGAAGCGGTGATGCAAACGGGAAGAAGGCGCCGCGGAGGCTGGGGGAACTCCTCGTAGGGCCCCG